ACATATCTACGTAGTCTAGTTCATCGTTTTGTTGAACATCGTTTTTTCAAATGGTTTATTATTATTAGTATAATAGCTAGTTGTACAACTTTAGTAAGTTGATAATTAGATAAAAACAAAAAAAAAAAATTTTTTTCTCGTCCTACAAAGGCTTTAGAAGATGTAAATACACGACAACAACCAACATTTTCCAAAGTATTAGCTATATTCGATAAAATTTTTGCAGTTATTTTTGTAATTGAATTAATATTAAAATTGTTTGCATATGGAATAAAAAATTATTTTACAAATGGTTGGAATTGGTTAGATTTTATTTTTGTAGTTGCCAGTATCCTTGGAATTGTTCTTAATATATTTGATGTAGCTGATATTCCAGTATTTAAATCAATGAGAACATTAAGAGCATTACGTCCATTAAAAACAATGTCAAGATTTGAAGGAATTCGAGTATGAAAATAATTAATTTAATTATTTATTTATTTATTTTTTCAAATTAGATTGCTGTTAGTGCATTATTTGGTGCTATATCATCAATTTTTAATGTTTTACTTGTTTGTCTTGTATTTTGGTTGATATTTTCAATTAGGGGTGTACAATTATTTGGTAGAAAATTTTATAAATGTCTCTATGTTGATACACATGATCGTGTTAATATATCAGAAAATATAACGAATAAAATTGATTGTTTAAATAAAAATTTTACATGGGAAAATTCACGAATTAATTTTGATAATGTTCTTAATGGTTATTTAGCTTTATTTCAAATTGTAAGTTATTTTAATTCGATTTAATAAATAAAATCAAAGATTAACTAATGCTTACAGACAGTGACAGATGTGTTAGTAACGCTCCACACCCCACACGTTGTAGACTGTGACAAATATTGTTGATATACAATCACAGACCGTATATGAATAACATTTCATTATTAGAGAGTTGAGGATCTATGTTTTTGTCGATCCGGACCAGAACTTGCAGCTCCCTACTCGTTAGTACTTGCTTATTGCATTTCTGGAGGATTAGGCAAAGAAAGTGTCCCCAAATTGATAGACTAAAATAATCTCCCTGTAATTAGCAATCGCAGTTATATTGTGCTTAGATATGTGTCAGACCATATTGTTTTGGTCTCGGTCTCGGTAACTTCTTTTCTAGCTTACAATGGAACATTCCCAGGTGCCGGAGCGCTTCTCAGCCGGAGTTTCGCACATCTTGTAGCCTATAGTGAGCTGTCTCTATGATAAAAAAAGTTCGGATTTCTGGCTTGTTTCTGAGGAGATATCGAGTTTCTAGTCAATTTGCCAAAGCTATACTTTCGAATTTTGACCTTAAACTTTGCCTACATAAAGGCCTCAGCTAGACTGATTTGCGTAAAAAATTTCAGAATCTTCTCAGAAACAAGCCAGAAACCCCAATTTTTTTTCTCATAGACACAGCTCACTATGGGCTACAAGATACGCTCTGGCATCTGGGAATGTTCCCTTGTTAATTCCAGTTGAGACGATTTTTTTCTCGTAGTCTTGGTTCCAATGATTGAGATCGAAACAATAGTTGACCACGCACATCTCTAATCGTGTTTCACATTTGAATTTTGCAGTGATTACACTAATAACTTAGTTTGTGAATATTTGCATAGTTGTTCTGACAAGAATTAAATTTATACTTTTATTTTGTTCAAATAGGCAACTTTCAATGGTTGGCTTGAAATAATGGCTGATGCAACCGATGCTAAAGAAGTATACAGCTATTTCTATTCGTTTTTTATTTTTGATATCTATGTTTTTATTTTTATAACACAATATTTTAGATAGATGCTCAACCAGAATATGAGATTAATGTTTATAGCCTTGTTTATTTTGTTTTATTTATTATATTTGGTTCATTTTTAACTCTCAATTTATTTGTTGGTGTTATTATTGATAATTTTAATGAACAAAAACGAAAATTAAGTTTTCTTATTACTTTAATAAGATGACAAAAAAAAATAGTAAAATGTTGTTCTTTTTGTTTTTGTTTTATATTTTAGTTAGGAGCTAATGGTTCAATAGATATACTTATGACAGAAGATCAAAAAAAATATTATAAGGCTATGAAAAAAATGAGTAATAAAAAACCAACTAAAGCATTATCAAGACCAAGAGTAACTTTTTCAAACAGATGAATATATATATATATATTAATTTTATGTTTATTTTAGTTTGCTCTTGCAAGATTTCTTTTTGATTTAACAACAAATCAAAAATTTGATACATTTATAATGATATGTATTTTTCTTAATATGCTTTGTATGTGCCTTGAACATTATAATCAAAGTGATACTTATGATCTTGTTCTTGAATATATTGATCATTTTTTCGTTGCAATGTAAGTAAATAATCAATAATAAGTTCGTAATCTGTCCGATGAATGAGTATTCATCAGTCTAAACTATGTCTCTCCTACATATCACTGAAAATTTCATACACATTGTCTTCTATATCGTACATATGAGTGAATTACAAATTTTATTATACTCTTAGTTTATGTTATTCAACCAAAGTTTTTTCACAGGTTGCGGAATATTAAGCGGGATACGCACTGGTAAATTTAGCTTCTGTTAAATTTAATAATCAAAATTTGCTTTACTCATGGTAGAGACTCAAGTCAATTTAGCTAGCATTTCAAGCAGAACAATTAGTTGGGAACAACTGACAATGCATAGTATAGAAACCTGTGAGACAGCCAAAAATTCGCCTCACTGCCGCTGATTCATTGAAGCCCTATCCCGCTCTGTCTCATCATCAAAAAAGCAATTTGTGAGGCAACTGTTTTTCAAACTTATTGAGAACCTATGCTAGACAAGTTCGGTTGTAAACAAGGACGCACCAATCAGTTTCATTCATTTTTGTCTAGATGGAAACAATTCTGATAGTTATCTACCTATGAAGGTGCAAAACTTTCCCACAAGCACTAATCTGAAACAGGAGAATTTCACTATAAGATATCCATAGGAAAAGTTGAATATTCTAGTTCAGTTAGGTACTAAGCCAATCACAAAAAACTTAACACGGAGATTGTCTACGATCTCTATTTTGTTTTGTATTTTTCCATAGAGGATTCTATTCCTCTATATACGCTGACGGAGGCATACGATCATTAGTTTTAAAAGAAAGAACAGTATCGTCAAAAGGCGGGGAAGTCGTTCAATCTGGCGGTGCTTTACCGTCTTTTCACCACTGACAGTTTTAGTGTCGCCCCATAACGGGATGGAGTAGTGTAACACCACGACTCGTGGATCTCTTTTATAAAACTTAATGTTTTTTTTTTCCTCGTTTTTTATTATTTCAGTGACAATGTATGACAAAGAGCGGAAATCAGGTATACATATAGGATAGTGATAGAGAAATATTTAGAGCATACCAAAAGTGATGAGATTTTGAAGAAAAATACACAAGTTATTGAAGATTTTACTTCATCAAATGTTTGAAGTAGTTTCTCTGGTTGTTTACATATAATTGCATTTGCTCATGCCATTTGTCGAAAGTTTTTTTTTTTCATAATCATTCTTGTTGATCGAATTCATAGT